TATGTTAGCGCGCTAACATCGTTGTAAGCGCGTTCTAAATACGGGCCTATATATATATATATAGATATAGATTATATATATATTATATATATATATAGATTACAGTAATATATAATATATCCTGATAAAAATACATTTCTAATATGATATAAAGCGGTACAATATTTTTCGTTACAATATTTTTCTTTTTTCTTTCTTTTTTTATTGATCACAATTAAAACGTAGCTTTTCTGTTCGTCCATTTCAAATATTACTCAGTGACGAGCGCAATAAATTGTGATATTGGATCTCTTACGCCACTGTGATACGTATCGGCAGGAATCATGGTAGAGCGTTCGGGGATTAGCGTATACTAACATATGGAAAAAAAAAACCGGTACATATGTACTCGTTCGTCCGGCTAAAACCGGTCAGTGGATACGCGTCTCTTCTCGTGCTTCTTCGCGTCCTTGTTCCGTTACTTAAGCGAATCTTGCGCGGTATTTGCCTTTAGACCGGGTCAACGCGATATTCTGTTTCATCTCGTTCTCGTCCGCGAACTTGCCATGACGGTGCACGTCGAAGATGGAGAAGGATCCGATTTAGTGGCGCAGGAGATGCCGCTCATGCAGCAAGACGCCGTGCCGTCGCGAAACGGTTTGAAATCGAACAATACTGGTTCCTGGTCAAGATCGTACGAGGAGTTTATCTCAACTTGGACATTATGGGGTGTTCGTAAATCGCGTAAATCCGGTGAGTGTTGACAAACCGTAACGGTTACGCGATTGTCAATAGTCATCGACTTCGTCAGTACTTATTTCAACAAAGAGACATAAAAACGACGATTGTATTTCTTCGCTGAATCTTTTTCGTTTTTACTGTTTTATAAATCAAGACTTTTACAAAAAAATAATTAAATTTTCCAAATTTTACATACAAATAATTTAAATAATTAATAAAAACATAAATACTATGATTAATCCTAAATCATAGTATTTATATTAATTTTATTATTTTTTTATGAATTAATGGATGTACGAAATATCTGTAAACGTGATAAATACGTGTATAAAGTAATTATTTACATGCAGAAATATTTCATTTATTATCTACATGAGTGATTCACAATTACAAAATTAAAATGAGATATTCATATTAGAATTATTTTAAATTATTAATATCACACGTAAAATTTGGAAACATTATTGATGTATGCACAAAAGCTTGAGTTCTCAAGAAAAGCTTTTTTGTTTTAAAAAAAAGATGCAATTATATCACAAAAAATGTAAATAAAAGATGTAATAACAAAACAAAGATAGAAAATGATATGGAATTCCTGAATGTGTGTGTGTGTGTGTGTGTGTGTGTGTGTACAGTGTGTCGCGACACATTAAATTTAACGGTCGTCTGATAAGTTTGAACTTATCAGACAATTAACGTTTTTAAAATAAATTTAACTTAACCTAATACAAATTTTACAAAGTAATCCATGAAATTTGCTCACAGCAAATTTCGCGAGTTAGTTCACGAGCCATAAAAACATTTCAGGTTAACGACATTAAGTCATACATGTCGGCGCTATCATGGCGTGAGTTTACAAGTTCAGTTATGCTTGTGAACAGTTCGCGATTTGTGCTTTATGCGACCGCTATCATGTGACTCGGCTCGGGTTTATCGGACAGGCGTGAGATTTTACGGGCGTTATCGGTGACGATAAAAGTCGCAGAATAATGAACGTTTGTCGTCGAACTGAGCTGACATGACCATGTTACAGGCAACGAGATGAATTACAAGGGCAGCGGGAAAGTCCACTTCGGGGTGGACGACGTGTCTCTCTATGGGACGCCGAAGGAGGAGCCGGGCCCGGGCCTCCCGGGCCAGGAAGTCAAGCAGAGCTTCCTGAAGAATCAGCTTCAGGCCCTGTTCCAGCCGACGGACAACAAGTTGGCCATGAAGCTCTTCGGCAGCAAGAAGGCGCTTATGAAGGAACGAATCAGACAAAAAGCCGCAGGTCACTGGGTCATCCATCCTTGCTCCAGTTTTCGGTATGTCCTTTGAATATCAACTGATCTCATTCAACAGGCCGTATCAATATTTCGCGCTATCACATTTCGTTCCGGCTGAAAAACACGTTCCACCAAGAAATACCGGCCTCAGACGCAGCCTCATATCTAAGTCTGCTCGAGTAAACTCGCGCACGACACATCGGTCCCGCGTTCTCCATAAAAGGGAACAAAATTTCTGCATGCACTTGTCCCTCACGGGACATAAAGTTTGCACTTAGAGATAACCAGATATAAATAACGCTTATTAAAATATATTTATATCCACGATGATATCCGTGCAATGATTCAAGTTATCTTATAATAATTAGATACGATATAATATACAAATTCATTCCTCCAATTAATATTAATTTTCACTCTTTTTCGTAAAAATAAAAGATGTAAAAACTTATTTTCTCCTACACTTCGTAACTTACATCAATCATGAAATGTTCTTTACGAGACTGATTACCTTCCAGACATTTTAAAAGGAAATGGTTGAAAATGAAAAATTACTTCTCTTTGCAAGACTAGCTTTTAAATTAATGTAAAAAATTATCCAATTGTGTCAGTCAAGTTTTAAATTAGTACGATTTTTAATTTTAACTGAAGTCACTATCCTTGGATGAAGAGCGACTTTATAAAGAATATTATTCGAATATGAATATATCACGTAATGTCGCATACTAGTAAATGACAAAAATCTAAGCGAGCGAATGTAAATCAACGACTCGTGTCGGCTTACTCGCAACCTAAAACTTTTCGGCTTGACTACGATCCCGGACACGAGAAACGTAAACTAACGCCTTTGTGCCGCAGTAAAATATTTGTCGTATCCGGATCATTCATCGTGTAGGCTTTCCGAGCCGTCCGAACAAAACGCGCGTCTCCGATCTTGAGGATCAAAAAAGAATGCGTTTGATCTACGAGCTAACATGCGTTACTTGCGGCTTCAATCGATCCAGGTCGCACGGAATATTCAATGGCTTTACAAGAGTCACGGATTTAGTTATATACATGCTCGTATATGTACAGTTGAGCAGTCGACCTCGCCTGGCGACGAAATAGCATTGAGACTTTACGACCTCAGGAAGAAGCCTCCATCAGGCCTTTCGCTTCCTTCCGGAGTCGTTTTATCGATGGCGAGCCACAATCCGTCGCTGAAGTCAGAACGCGTGCTATCTACTTCTCGCGGAGAATGTTGACACGCTCGCCGAGCCATTTAAAGACAAATGCATCGATTAGAATGACAAGCGTTCAAGAATGCTTGTCTACCGAATGATAATGAATGGGCGATCCTCAATTAATGGTAATTCCTTGCAGAATTAACCATTAATCAATATTAGTCGAGTAAAAAGGATTATAAGAGCATGAAGTGTATTTCAAGGATCTGCATTAGCAAAATCCTAAATACACCAATAACATGGAATTCAAAATATAAAATCGAGAAAAGAAAATATACTAAAAGTTCGAAAAAGAACTCCACACTAATTATGTTATGAAAAATTGGCTTCCGATAAAATGAATTAATTTTCACATATAATGTAACTTATAATATAATGAACAAGAGACACAAGGTTCAATAGTGGGTAATTTTTGAGCTGTAGTGCATCAAAGGTGTAAAACTTGTGCTCACAGAGCACTTTCGATAATTCAAAAACTATATTATTGAGTTCATAACAGCGAAATTTAATTTTCCATGTAATTAATGTACGATTTTTTATTCTCGATCTATTAAAAATAATTTACAAGTTTTAATGCTTAAAAATTAATAGAATATAGCTTTTTCTCAGATTTGCACAATTTAGCTTTTGATAATTTACGGAAGAATTGTCACAGTTTAATCTTTTTCCTATTCGATATGTTTTCATTGCTTGTGCGAGTTTTTTCCCATTTTCGATGCGAAAAAACTGTTTTGCGTGGCGGAAGAAATCAACGGAACAAATTCGCGCGGCTGAAAACGAGCGAATGGTGCCTCGTTACAATATCAAATTGCCAATATTAACTGTGCATGGCGCAGCGTGCACAGTTCCATAACGCGCGAAACACTATACTCGGCCACAACTCGGCAACGGTGACGGCGGCGGCGTTTGTCGCTCCAATTGGTTGAAATTGCCCGGCGCTTCCGTTCGGAATCTTGGCTAATTACCGGCAGCATGGAGGATTCTCCGTAGCCTTCTCTACGATTCCACTAAAACGCAAGACTCTCGTGGGCATTGAAACTTTAATTCGTTCCTCCGTTAATGATTGCGATATCTTCCGGCAGAATGAGCGTAACCAACGGTCGTTTTTTACGCGACATGTAACACTAATATCCAGCTGCTAAATTATACAAATAAGCGTCAATGGTGCTCCATTTTCCAATCGTTATCATATAGATCAGATATCCATATAATAAAAGTCATGTAAGCTCTCGCGTCTGCCTGATATGTTTTATTTGAATAACGTGACGCAACGAGAGACGTGTCTCGAATTAATGGATATATTATTTAAACACGTGCAAGCATCATCAAATCTTTTTTCTCTTCAGGGAATAATGATAATAATTTCAATAGTTCATATTGTGTTAATATTATACAGTCTCCGTGTGCTTTTATTTATTTCATTTTATTTTATGTATATAAGTTATTTCTTTTCTAAATAGTTTTACGAAAAAAATATTAGTTTTTTTAATCAAAAACTTCTTAAACATCTTTCCAATATGTCATATCCAGCTTTGTTTTTCCAATGCTTTTCCATTGTTTGTAACTTTTTTTTATTAATAAACATACATACATTTTCTTGGTACTATTATTTTTAACATCTGGTGTTTCGGTGGAAAGAAATTTTTTACAATATGTTCATTTTTATTAAAGTTATAAGTAATTGAATTGAGTGATATGATTGGGTCATACCGCAATGTGTTGTTCCCGGGTTTAGCGTTTAAAAGTTAATATACTAAAAAAAGATAAAAAAGTAAATACCACCGAAATATTTGCAAACATTACGGAATTATAGATACACGAAAAATCAGAACGATGTCGCGGTTTTGTGAGGACACGTGCGTAAATGAATGTGCTCTTTGATCTATTGACCAAAATATAAATGATAGCCGAAATACCCGATATAACACGTGTCACATAGTTGGCTGTAATGTCGCTCCGTCAGCAGTTCATTATCCGAACATCCCGAACATGTATGCCTCTATAGGAGATATCATGTTAATGGAGATTCATCCTGAACAGTTAACGGGGATCCTAGACACGACATCGATGCGAGTTTCGATACGATAGTTAACTTTCGGCACCTAATAAATTTAAATCACTTAAGCAAATTCTAGACTAAAGACGATGTGATAATAATTTGTAAGACCATTACACTCTTAAATCAAGGATACTGAAAAGTGAACTAAGTAACAGCAAAATATAAATGAACGCCAAAATTACCGAATACATTCAAATTATTCAGATAGTTTCGAAAGTATATGTAGATAGCGAGACCGTGTCTTCCGGATAGTCTCACTGGATTTCAGCTGAAGCGAAACTTTATTGGAAGCTTAGTACCGGAGATATTTTGTGCGGAATATTAAAAATTTACGATGCACAATGCTGACAATATCATTTCCTTCGTTTTAATATGTGGCTACTAAATCGCTGTCCTTCGTTTACATACGTTGCATAAATTCGTAATTCCGAGTTCAATTCGCCTCGCGCGGTAGGTACGTGACATTCATACGACAATATCTTGCGAAAACGTTGCAAAATTAAAAGAAAATATTTTTACGCATACAGTCTGAAAAAAGAAGGAGGAAACTCTTATTCTTCTATAGGCCACAGAGAATAAAATGTGCAATTGTTTTTGCCATAAAAGTTTTTCTTATCATGTTTGCGGTTGCACATATTTGTCTGTTCTACGTCGGTTGGAATTGTCGCGTTGAACATAACTTGACAAAGCTCGATCGCGAGAACACGCTCTCTTTCACCTAAAGGGAGAGACTTATAAATGTGAGACGTCATAAAAGCGAACATAAACCACGCTACTTAACTATGGACAGCACATTAAATACGTTCTTTTTTCCTCGTTTCGTGTTAAATTATATTAAAAATTGCATTTCCGGTGAAAACGACTTTCTTCGTGCTTGATTTACTTAACATTGATAATGTTAAGATATGTAGACTGAACTCTCGAGCGAATGATTTATCGCGCACAGCCATCGGTATCGAATATTCGGCCGTTCCACATTTAACGATTCCTGCTTTCGAATTTGTGAGAGAAAATTTTATACTTTATGAAATGCGATTTCCTGGCACTGTAAAATTTCTCTTGTAATTTTTAGCACGCGCTCAGATCTCTTTTTACATTATTTTATGTATTAGTAAAGTATTTCGCTGTGTACATATTTATCCGAATCTAACCACATTTCTTTAAAAATATAAAATAAAAAAACGCATTTAAACGATAATTGCTGCTGTTCAAAGTTATCGGCAGACAAGTCTGTCTTTGATATTGCGGAGCTAAATACTAGGTTTAAACAAAAGCATGAGAAAATATAATGAGAAACCCGAATTATTTCTTTTGTGTTTCGAAGTGAAATGCATTTATTTATGCATTCCGACGTCGTAAAAGAAAGAAAATCACGTTTTCGATGTCTGAATAATCAAAAGTAACAGTAAAAATCCTTAGTGCAGCTCGTATTCGCAATATGTTCTACGCAGTTTCGCTTTGATGTAAAAGAAAATAATTACACTTGCCTAAGAAGTAACATATTTAAAGTGACATCGATTATTATTATCTAAATAATTATCGTATCATTCCGACGTCGTAAAAGAAAGAAAATCACGTTTTCGATGTCTGAATAATCAAAAGTAACAGTAAAAATCCTTAGTGCAGCTCGTATTCGCAATATGTTCTACGCAGTTTCGCTTTGATGTAAAAGAAAATAATT